TGGAGCACTGATAAGAACCACTTCTGTGGACTGGTGGAATGAAGAAACTGCAAGGAATAGTACCATGGTACCAAGGTTTTAGGAATCAAACAGGAAAGAGACATACACACAGACAACAATGGCTACAAGTAAGGAAAGATGCAAAAGAAAAGAACCGCTTAAAAGCAGGATAAGAGGTGGGAGCTTCCTATGCAAGAAGAAAAGGGAGAGCTCGTACACACACACACACACACACACACACACACACACACACACTGAGGTGAGGGCACAGGACAGACTGAGAATGTGAGCTGACTTCCTAGGAGAGGAGACAGCTGGAAGGAGGAGGAGCTGGAGGAGCTGTCAACATCATTGGCAAATGCGAGCAGAGGGACCCACAATGACTGGAGCACTACTGGAAAGCACAGGAAGTTAAATGAACATCAGAGGCCATGCCTTGTTAGAGTGGCAAGCCCACACAATCACGATTTCTCTTCAACAGTATCAGTGTTCTATCGGAAGGAGTAGCACAGATTCTAACCTCTCAGATGGTCCAGCCCAGTATCTACGTCTTTCCATTGCACCATCACCTAGCCATACATCTGGGTCAGGATCCTCAGCTGCAGGAGGCTTAACATCAAAGTATGTGGTGTTTATAAGTGAACTTCTAGCAACTTCAAACAGGCAGGTTCCTGATTTCAAAAAACTGGTTTGAGTAAGCACTCAGGCATAATACAAGGAGAATGCCAATGATGGCTCCCATGTTTCACTGTTCCAGAACCATACTCTGATGAGAAAAACATAGAAATAGATAATTTATGAAACAAATTTCTAGCTTTTTGATAAAGTCTCAGATTAGGTTAAAGAAAAGCAAAACAGTATTGCTATCTCCATGTGTTCCTGTAGCTTTCTTTCCCTTTTAAAGATCCACAAAAGGATTAGGGCACTACCTTAGTCAATGAAGTACTTGCCTTACATGCAAAAGAACCTGACTTTGAGCCCCAGAACCCAAGTAAAAAAAGCTGGGAAACATGGCTCACACTTGTAATTCTAGAGGTCACAGGAGACGGGTAGATCCCTGGAGCCTGCCAGCCAGCCTAGACTACTTGGGGAATTTCAGGCCAAAGACAGCCCTGTTCAAACAACAAAGTGGGGGACATCAGAGGGACAGCAGCCTAAGCTCTCCTCAGGCCTCCACATGCCCCTCGACCACCATCATCACAAACACACACACAGACACACACAGACACACAGACACAAAAGATGTTCAGCTTAGTTTGGAATCCTATAGTTTTCTCAATGAGTTAAGTTGTTCTTTCTTTTAAGAATGTAAAATCTTCTCACAATAACACTTCACTTATGTATGGTTTATAACGAAAGCCCCAGCTATTTAGGTCATATAAGAGCATGTCCCCAAAAGGAAAAACACCCACAAATTACAGAATCAGAAGGCATGAGACTCACTTACAAAAGCCCACAAGCACTGAAGCTGTCTTCATTTCCATATCAAGCCAGTGCACTCTCTAATAGATGTGACTGGACCAAGTCTGATACTCTGCTTTCTTTGTAAATAAACCATGATTAGACCAAGTAAATCAGAAGGGTCAGTACTCTGCTGTTAGATGAAAGCCTCCCATGTGCAGTCACCAAAGGTAGATGCTGATGTGGAAGTCAGGAAGTGCATGCTGATAAGAGCCTGATATGGATGTCTCCTCAGAGGTCTTCAAGAGTCTGACATATTCAGAGGCAGATGCTCACAACTAGCCATTGAACTGATAATGGGGTTCTCAATGGAGGAGTTAGAGTGAAGACTGAAGGAGCTGAAAGGATTTGCGGCACCATGAGGAGAGCAACAATACCAACCAACCACAGCTCCCAGGGTCTAAACCACCAGCCTGGGAGCACGTAGGGAGGGATCCAGGGCTTCAGCTGAATATGTAAGAGTGGAGGACCCTGCTGGGCATAGGTGGAAGAAGAGAACCTTGACCTCATGAGGGCTGGATGCCCCAGGGGGTGCGAATTTTGAGGGTGGGGAGGTGGGAGGGGGGATAGATAGAGGTTACATCCACAGAGAAGAAGGAGGAGGGGTGAGGGGATAGGAGGTTCCTGGGTGGGTGGGGAATGGGGTAAGGGGACAACATAGGAAATGTAAATAAAACATCCAATAAAATAAATAAATAAATAAATAAATAAATAAATAAATAAAAATAAAAAAGAAAATGGGCTATTACCCTGATCTACACAGGGTGTATAGGTATACAAGTGGGTTCAAGATATGATTGAATTCTATAAGATTGCTTTCAAGGCAATAAAAGGTCTTGTTTCTTAATAAAAATAAATAAAAAATAAAAGCCAAAGAGCAAATAAGAATTTAAAGGTGTTATTAGGACTGATCTCTTTAACACAATCCTGTGAGTATTTTCTTAAAAGTAATCACTAATGCAAAGAGACAACCCTAGGATACCTGAAGATATAAAATTAAGACCCAGAGAGAAGGGACCACAGGGTTAATTAGTTAGAATTAATCCTGCCAGTGTTCAGAGACCTGTGGCACCAGGCACGGGGGCAGTCTGTTTATACTGCTGCACATCATCTTCCTGGCAAATTTTAGAAGCTACAAGATTTAATGGTCTTCCACTAAGGCAACACTTTAGCCTATCTAGACTGTTTCAGTAAGAGATGAGTTATACACTGCTTTATTAAATAGATAATTTAAAAATTAAAACATGTATTTTTCCAGAAATGAAACACACACCAATTTAACTCCTGTTTGGCCTTAAAATGATACCTCCCTTGAACAAAAGGGTATACGCACACTCACTAGGTACTACCTAAGAAATGAGAGACTTGGATTTACAGAGTGCTAAGTACCATATGAAGCTAGCAATCTAATTTGGATCCTAAGTTACGATCTCAATTCAGATTTACTTTGAACACTGTATCATCCCTCATTTAAACAAACTAGCACATGAAATTATGCCAACTACCAAAATCAGAAATGCTAAGAAGGAATGTTTTTGGAAAAACTGGCATTTAATCATTAAAAGATGAAATAGTGAGAAGGTTGAGGAGAACAAGCTGGTCATGTTTGCTCTAGGTTGTACAAAACAACATCTTACAGGCTGTGCCTTACCCTGCGAGACTCCATTTTATGCCATGCCATTTGCTCCACTTGGGGTGGAAGTGCTGATGCAGAATGACTTTATCTGGTCTGCGCAGGCAAAAAACTATCATCTGTACAGGACAAAGCATGCACAGACCAAAAGCTAGCTTACTCATGCCAAGTAAAACGTTACCTATAAACTGAGCAAAGAAAAACACTGGCACATGGGCATACCAAAGCTACATCAGAAAAACCCGGTCCAGAAACACACAACACAACACACAGAGGCTGGAACTCCCCACAATTAGGAAGAACATTTGACATTGTGCTGTGGTGGCACCTGATATAGAACCATCAGGAACATGGTATCAACCTGCAATGAGCTTGCAACTTTGTCTCTGAGTCAGTTCAGTACATTCCTCAGTTCACACAGACCACTGAAATTGCAATTGATCTGGACTTGGACCTGCACCTTTAATCAGCTCTGCCTTGAATAGGCTCTGCCCATCATCATCCCAAAACCTTTGACCAGCTTCCTTGATGCCTTACCTAATGAGCTGCCTTGGTCTCGGTGTCTATACCAGCTCTCTGGTTCTGCCTTCCTAGGTCCTCTGCAGCCTCTGTAATCCTTCCCTCACCATTCAGCATCCTGCATTTCTCACATGAAGTACATGCCTGATCTTTAGAGTTGAGATTGGAATAGACTGCAAATAACCAGTGTATCAAGCAAAATCAAAAGTATATGGTGAATTATAACCAAAAAAATTGATCTAGTTTATAAATGTACTTTTATCAGAGATTGTAAAGTATTTTTAGTTATTTTAAATTATGTGTGCACCCATATGGCTGAACAGAGGGGAGATGTGCACACGAGTGTAGGCCCAGAACCTAGATGTCCTAGAGCCAGAGTGACAAGCAGGTGTGAGCCAAGCAACTGGGTGCTTGAGAACCTGACTTGGGTCCTTTGTAAAAGCAAGTACTTTTAACCATTATCTGCCAGCCTATTAAAACTATTATTCAATAGACTCTGATATTGTGGAAAGAAAAACACACCTTTGTCTATAGCAAAGCACCTGTACAGCTAATGTGCACCTGTAATCACAGCAGTGTGGAGATCAAGGCAGGAAGATCATGAATTTGAAAAAAAAAAAAAAAAAAAAAGCAGGAGCCTCTCTGAAAAAGAAACTAAGAAATAAATGAAACGCTCAACGCACAGTTAAGGTTTTCCTGTGGCTCTAACAGACTTCTTTTAAAGACTGTTCTCAATGAATTCATACTAATGTTTTCTTTTCCTCTACATAAACATATATATGTTGTGATTCACATACAAAGGCAGAATTTTAAAACTTATATATGACTTTGCAAGGCTCCCATTCACACATGAAAGAACAAGTAGTCAATATCTGCATAAAAAAGAAACATAAAACCAGTTGTATGTTTCTCACCTTATCAAACCCAATTTCTAATCAATAATTACAAATAAAATTATAACAAAAATACATTAGATATCTTAATTCAGAACATTAAGATCTGAACAGGAAAGCAGCAGGGGGAGCTCCTCATGGGGCTCAGTTACAGAGGCCATCTAACAGTTCCCCGTTTTCTAGGTGTAAGGCCTTCTGCAACCTTCACGTGCAGGTTTGTTGTAGAATACACTCCCATCCCTCTGTTACGTTTTGTTAAATATGGCTACATCAATAATATATCCCGAGGATGTAAGCATGGGTTATTTTACAATCACCCTACCTGAACAAGAATGAGGCCATTCTGAATTTTGATGGGAAATGAAGTTTTCATTTCCTTTGATAATACTAATTTAGTACTACTTTTGAACTGCTTAAACACAATGGCTTACCAGATAATTAGACATGTGATACCCAAGCAATTGCTTTTAAAAGTTCAACTCTGGATGACCTACCCCTTCCTGTTTAGTGAAGAGATTAAGACAGTCACTCAACGCCACACAAGTCTCTCTAGAAGCTTCGGAGACAACGTCAGCTTTCTGAAGAAATGATGGAAGCACATCTATAAACAAACAGAAATGGGTGTATGCAATGAGTGGATCTCTGATGTCAAACTAAAACCACCAAAGCACTCTACTGGCTCCTTGCTGTGAAACAGAGACAGGGTGTGCTTCTTACCACTGTAGCCAACACCTGCTAATCAGTCAGTCAGAAAAGGACAGAGCTAGGCTTTGAGGGCCCTAGCAACTGGGCAGTGCTGTGACTATGCTAAAGGAGCAGCCCATAGGCAGAGAGCAGTGTTCACAACACAGCCTTCCTTTTACCACTGTCTCTGCTGGGTAAGTAATTTTATTCAAGAGCGAAGTGCTAAAACAAGACAAAAATAATTCTGTGGTTGACATAGAGGCTAACATGTCTGAAGGCGGCATTAATTCAACTTCTCTAGCTCTTATTTGGAAAAATGTTTCCCATAAATGGGTATTTGTGCTTTCAATCCCCAGTGGAAGCCTGCTGCCTGGTACTGTGTGCTTAAGCTAGGGACAGAGAAGGAAATGGCAATATCAGACCCTGACTCTGTCAGGCAGGACAAATCTTAACCATTTACCCATTAAAAATAAAAAGCAAAAACAATGCCCACGGGAGAAAACTGAAAACAGACATTTACCACTTAAAAATAAGTAAAATACTGTGAACACCTTGTCTACACTGATGCAAGAGAAATGTTTGGCTTTTTGTTAATTACACCCTGAGATCATTTAAACTTATTCTTCTAGCCAAAAAAAAAAAAAAAAATCTTAATATTTAAGAAAACATTTCACTAGGATAAAACTGAAAAAGAAAACTTGCAGTATTCTTTGTATTTCAAATACTCTTGACTTATTTAAAACAATGTTGAGACCATAAGCAAGGACAATAGGCCAACCAGCTAAAGCAACTCAAATGCCTGTTTTACCAAGTGTTGGGGCGTGCGCAGTAGGCCCACTAAGACATCAACACTTCCAACTGTAAAGAAATAATGTTCTGAGGAGAAGGAAGTTTAGGAACTCAGGTAAATCACCAAGAAATGTGTGTATAAGTGTTTATAGTCATCACTTGGTGATAAACTCTAAACACCATGCTTCTCAGTCTTGCTTCAAATATTCCAAAATTGTCTACATTAATGAAATTTAAGGAAAAGGATCTTATATAGGAAAAATATTTATCCAAAATTCTAAGGTAAAAGTAAACAACAAAAGAATAAAAATGAGTAAATAAAGAAATAAGTCGTCTTCTTTAACATGGACATACAGGCCAAGAGCATCCCTTCTCTCCCCACTCTCAGCAGTTCCCAGGGGGCCACTACCCTGACCCACAGAGATGACTAAAGGCTATTAGACTCTGAAATACACAGCTTTGCATATGTTTTCTTTCTATTTCACTCTTTGATACACACTGTCAAGGTTTATTCTCTACTTGCTTGTCAAATGGCTAAGAAAGTAGCACATACTGGGTGTCTGGTACTCCAGCAATAGAAACATAACAGATGTCACACACAACTGTGAGACATGCGAGAGAAACAGACTCAGCCTTTGTCTTCCATAAATGTTCTGGGTAATCTAGTAATTTTCCACTTTTGTGACAAATAATGTTAAGATGAAATCATGGGTCTGTTTTTAAGTAAATACCATCACACACTTAATCATCCCCAGTAAAAGCTAGGCTATATAATTTCTGAGTTAGTTAGATACAAAACAAATATTAAGTGTCCAAACATGCAAAGAATACTTAAATGTACTTAAACAAACTCATTCTACAAGCTTTTTAAACATACACACACAAACACAAAAAAAATGCATGCACACAACTACCCTCAAACAGAGTCTAGGAGCATAGGTCAAAGCAAGTAAGCATAGGTCAGAGCAAAAGTGTAACAAGCATGTGAGTGCTCTCTGTTCAGTTCTCAGGTACACACACACACACACACACACACACACACACACACACAACTTCCTTTCGGTCTGGAGATAGACCTTAATTTTTGTGGCAGTTTGCTTTAAGACTTGAGGACCCCTGGCTTATGATCTACCTAACAAGCCAACAAGACCAGCTCCCATAGGCTGGCTTTGTTGACAGTCATGTTTACACACACAGAAAGAACCAGAACTTTCAGAAAGATGAACAACTAAGAATCACGAATAATATGTGTTAGACTCTTAGTGTTTGGAACTAAGTGGCCAGCATAAATGCAACTTGGTCACTGTTACCTTACTTGACCTCCTATCAGAATATTATTGCTAACTTTGAGGATAAAATTATTTCTGTACTGAAAATATTTTTAAAGTAATAAAAGCTTCTAGAAGATCATACTGGAAACAGCCTAACTTTAGAGACCTGTAAAAAGCTCACTCTGTCATTTTTCATGATTATACTGTACAATCTTTACTTTGTTTCTTCCAAACCTTTGATTGAGATAATACTTCTCTAGGTATCACATATCCTAACAGTCACAATTTTCTCCACTGGGAAAATACATACATTGTGTTCCCAGCCCTAGTCCAATGCCATCCTCCCTATAAGGCCTTCCTTAAAGATCTCCATGAGTTTCAGGGCAATGCTCACCCATTCATTTGTCAGTCCACTCTGCTATCCATATAAACTGTAAGCTACTTGGTGAGCTCCAGGTCTACACACACACACACACACATGCACGCAGGCACACTCACAGGGAGAAAGAGAGAGAGAACAGAAAAGTAAGGTCTACATGCTACACACACAAGCACGCACACAGGGGGAGAGAGAGAGAGAGAGAGAGAGAGAGAGAGAGAGAGAGAGAGAGAGAGAGAGAGAGA